AAAGGCACAATGCAAATGTTTTATTTTGAGAGAAAAACATCTAGTCACCTGTTTCATATATTTAAAAACCCTTTAAGGGAGATCAGATTCAGAGCACATACATATTCATGACCTTAGAAAGTGTAATTGGTTAAAAGCCAGAGAACACTGATAAGTTTTTCCTATTCCAATGAGTAAACTTTCAAACTGGCCAAAGAAAAGACTAAACTTTAAAAAAAATTATGCACAGCATTTGCAAATAACAAATAATCTGTTCTTGTTAATCAAACTGAAAACTATCTTTGTGAAATAACTAATTTGATGCCACATTACGATGATGGCCATCAAATTTCAGAACTCAAGTCTAAGGATCCACATTCAATGTATAGATAGATTATAATCTTTAGTTCATTGATGTCATAGAGTTAATTATGCCAAGCACGAAACAACTGTTATTTTGGAGATAACCCCTCCACTGTAGAATACAAACCAGAAGTTCTTTAAAATCTTAAAAAGTAGATTCTATACTGGAGAAAACATGTGGAAAAAGAGAAGGGAGGCAAAGTTAAAATTAAAAATAAAAATAAAAATAAAAAAGAGAGGAAAAAGAAAGAAAGAAAATTGAATAGTGATATATGCCAGACTTACCTTCATGTAATTGCTCAGAGATTGATCCCATTCTGTAATCCTGTATGGCTAGTTAAAAGCAAGGAAGTCAAAAGGAAGAAACAAAAGAACTCTTCAAGAAAAAGGTAGCAAGAGATATGATAGAAGATGTTAAAGTCTAGTACCAGCCTTCTCAAGCCATCTCCAGAATTAGGAACATAGACACTTAGCAAATAAAATGTATCAAATTCAGCGGTCACCAGACGACCTCCACTAACATGATCTGATATGCCCAGGCCATAACTGACTGAAAGCAGCTTTATCTGTCGACAACTTCTAATATTTAATAAAACAATAAGAACAAGCAAGGCCATCATATCAAAGAATCAAAAGATACCTAAATTCTCCTAAAAAGAATGTGCATACCCAGAATATAATTGCTGTACCAGAATAGCCAAGTTTGGAAACCCTGCATGTCCAGAAGCTATTCTCATATCCCTCTAAAAGAGAGTGTTTGATTGACTCAACATCTTTCTCCTGTTCCAAGATTTAAAAATCCACTCAATATATAGATAAAAATGGCAACCCTCAAATGCTTACTATACTTTTACAAATCATATTTTTACGAATCATATCCACACACACACATGCACACACTTGCAGGTGCACACATGTACAGTATCCAAAGAAAATTTAGTACCATATGCATGTCCATCCAAATACAATCATATGCTGGGCTAGTAAAAGAGAAAAATTTTGGTGCTTAGTTTTGTGAGGTTGAAAGGAAAATATAATTTCACTCATCCACTGATATGGGATTTGTCACAAATCATACCTCAATGTGACTGCTAAGAGTCTAAGACTATGCTTTAGCCTTTAAATAAGACAAATAATTAAAAACTGAACAGAAAATATCACTTTATTTTGGGGTAGATTTTGGGGTAAACTTTTGTATGAATGTGTTGATAGTATCACCCTAACTTTATAATCTACTCTTTTTTGTACAGGTAGGAGTACCCCTTGTACTCCAACTTAATAATACTATCTTTTGTTGATAAAAAAATATATATATATATCACTTTATTTTAACCAAATTAAAAATGAATACCATGGTTAAATTTAAGAAACAAAAAGCTAACATGTTATTGAAATATTATATCTTGCCTGCAGTTTCGTTTCCTGTAAGCACAATACATCAAAGTTTTCCCTTTTAGCAAGCTCAAGAGCAGAGAACCCCTCTAACTTCAGCAGCGCTCTCAGCCTGTTCACATTCCAAGACATTCGCTTCATACATTTAGTATCTCCTGTAAGTGGTGGAGGCCTCATGATTCCTGGATTATAGGCTATCCACCCTTTCTGAGGCTTCTTGTGGGCAAAAATTGTCCACGGTTCACGTTGACTCATTGGAACATTAACTCCATCATTAGTGTCTTTGCCATCAATAACCAAAGATGCTTTCCTGATTGGTTGAGAAGGCTTCTTTTCTACCAACATTTACCAAAATGAGCCATCTTAATTTAATTATTAGAAAAATTAAACCCCTCAAACTGATAACCTCAACCACATTTCAAGGGAAAGTAGAAAGTTCCTAAATGATTAGTGATAGCAAACAAGCATGCTATTGCTGCAAGAAAGACACTTAAGGCACCTGAAACATTACCCTTGATTGAAAGCTTCTTCCTTTCATGACAATTTTAGCATCCAGTTCACCTGATAATGTGTTAGTCTTTCCTGCCACTGAGATGCCTTGAGCAGAAATGGAGGAAAGTTGTTCATCTCCTAAATGAGAACTTTCACCTACATGCTCAAAGGATATCCATTCTTAGGAAATGAGCAACTTACCGTTGAACTCAAACAGGTTCTCAGAAACAAGGAAGAGAAGAAAGAAATCAGAAAACTGGCAGCAATCATTTCCATATTAAAGTTGATTTTCTTATCTTACTCCATGTTAGCAGCTAAAAGCCAAAGCTTAATAGAGCACTGAAAGAAATAATAAAACTTGATCTCAAAATTAAATTTGCATACCATCTAATTGCTTATCCAAATAAGTCTTCAAGGCAGATACAAGGTCACTCTTGCAACCTTTGGCAGGGAGGCCAGCATTCCTGAGAATTTAAAATCATAATATCAAAATCAAATTCATATGGACAAAAACAATCCTTGAGAGTAGTTTAGAGTGCAAAGCACTGCATGACAAACAAGGAACTAATCCAACTAGTTAAAGCAGTTACATGCATAATGTTTTATTGCACAGCTCCTTTGTGGTTTATTCTCTATATCATCAATGGCCTTAAAAAATTTAGGATATGTGCACGGTGCCCTACTTGTGTTCATGACATGATACATTAAAGCTAAAAACTAATGATATGAGAACACAAACACCTAAAACAGAATCCATATCTCTTTTTATGTTTATCCTCAAAATTTGTGCATACCACAATGCAGCCTTGAGTTGTTGAACTGTCATTGTGTTGATTCTGCCAGGATCATTCATGATATCCTGAATTTCACACACACTACATTTAAACCACATTCTTATAAAAGCATGAAAGCAGAAAATTTTTGATATGGCAATTATAAGTGATATCATCAACAACCTTAAAAACACCATCTCTGGAATTTTGATTGGTACCCACCAAACCTTGTTCTTTATTATCATTCTTGCCCTGCTCAGCCACTTTACCTTTCCTAGCATTCCCCTACAACTCACCAATACCCAAAACAGTTAAAACCACACAACATCGTTAAAACCACACAACATCGTTAAAACCATAAAGCATATAAAAATCAACAGTGAGGTCAGTGGAAATAACCAAGGCAATCAATAACCTTAACTTCACCCTCATCAGAATTTAAGTCTGCAGTAGCTAATCCCTTGAGCTTCTTATCTGTCTTTCCCTCAACAGTTGATGAAGCCGACACAGATGAGTTTGAAAGGAGCCTCTTAGACCCCATTACTTCGACTGCCAAAGGGGAAAATGCCCTGGTTCTCAAACTCCTTGCTTTCACTGCAAAACTACACAGCATTTTCACTTTTAATCTCAATCTCTACTTCCTTCAACAATGGGAATTTCTGAAAAAAATTAAGTTGAAAAATCTGGGAAATTTCTAAAAAATCTTTGAAGCAGGAAAACTATGTAAAGAAAAGAGAAGGACAAAACCTGGTAAGATTGATGAAATTGTTGAACCCTAATTCAAGTGTCGAGCACATTTATCGAATCGAACCTGAAACTCAAAAGAGGTTTACCGCCATAGTAAGTGTTTATATAAGTGCCCTATGCATCTGCAGTCGCTCAAGTGCTTAATAACGCGTGATTGTTAGGATAAGTAACTACTTAGTGCAAGGCTGTGCTACCAAAATTTGTTTTAGAACTCAGGACACCTGTGTAAAAATTTATATTTTAATTAGTATTTTTAAAAATCAATTCTTAAATTAAAAGTATTATATACGTACATCATGTAAATTAATTTTTATATTAATTTAAGTGTAATAATATAAGGATAAATTTTTTACATAATTTTTTATATAATTTTTATATATTATTAAATAAATAGATATGCTTAATTTTATAGGTCTTAAATAAATAAAAAAATCAATTATTTAAATTACATGTAAAGTGTACCAAGAGGTGATGCAAAAAATTTATTCTTAAATCATTTTCCTTAATTTAACACTTATATTATAACTCTAATAAAAAAAATCTTATTTTTTGACATATATTTAATGATATTAAGTTTTATTTAATCAATAAATTTATTAGACTTAGTAAATCAATATAAAAATTTACAGGTGTAACCTATACATACAAAGATTTTTAATCCAAGGGTTAATTTTTGAAAATATAAATAAATAACATTACTTACAATACTTTTCATAAATATTTATAGTACTTTTGATAATTTATACATTTGTTAAATTATCCATTCCTACTTTTCAAAAATGAATATAAAAGCCATCTTATTTAAAATTAATATAATTTAATAAAATTTTAAATATTTTTTTGTACATTATATATTAAATTATTAATTAATTTAATTTTAAATAATAATGTATTTAATTGAGTAATTTTACAATAAATAATTTTTTTTAAATATAATTGTTAAACATTAAAATGTTTTTAATGACGATACAACATAGCATTTCTAACAACTATAGTTATAAATCAACACAAAACAATGTTATTAAACTAGGTTCTACTCTAAAAAAATTTAAGAGAACAGCTTATAAAACATTTTTTTCTTATTATAAATTAAAAGTATCAATATATGGGATGCAAATTGAAGAATAAAATTTGGAATAAAAAATGAGTTAATATGTATAATATTATGAATTTTAATAAAGTTAAAAGTATGATTGTTCAAATTGCAATTTTACTTGGAAAATTGCAAGATTTTATGATTTTAAATATCAAACTCACATAAATTTTAAGTAAAAATTCAAATCCCATAAACTCAATTGTAAAATCTTAAACTTATAGTAAAATTGTAAAATTGAATAAAATTGTGTGCTTACCTATTTTTTAACAATTAATTTTTTCTATTTTATTATCTTAAGTTTTATTGATTACACGATCCTTAAAAGTTAAACCATTTGAAGTATCTAAGTTAAACCCATTAAATAGTAGTTCTTATTTGATTTTAATCATTTGCTTCATACTTTGGAAATTTGTCTACTAAATAGTTGCTTCCCTCCCTTCTTCTATGGATTGCGATCTTGATACAAACTCTAAGTAGAGGACAATTGGAAAGAAGGATATAAAGTAGTAATTCACAACTTTGCAAGAACAAAAACGAATACATACACCTTCAAACACTAACAGTGGCAACAAACGTACACCAGCAATATATTAATTTCAAAAAAAAAAAAAAAAAAAAAAAAACCTAAGAATTAGCTTCAACAAACAAAGAAGAGTATAACAGTATCATGGTGTTGACGACCACTTAAAAGAGATTAAGTGTGAAAACATTAAAGGAAAGGGGAGTCGACATTCATCCAAATTGTAAGGTAGGACAAGTCACCTAAAACGAGTCTGCTTAGAAATTGGGATTCGAAGATTCGGTTAGGAGTGAGGAAGGGCATACGCACACCTCACAATCCTCCATTTAAACACAGTTGCATACTTTAAAATTAGGGTTTTATTTCAACTTATCCATTATCTATAAAAAAAAAATTTATTTATTTTTTATTTTTGAAAGGATCAACCAAATTGAAACATTTTTTTTATTTTTAGACTAGAATGGACTAAATCAAAGACATGCATGCACAATAACATAAACAAGAAGTTAAGGGACTAACTTGATTAAATTCACAAACATAGAAGACTGATTTGAAAAGAGTTGAAATATGTGGACTAAATTGCTTAATTATAAAAGTTTTGGGTAAAATTAAAATGAGGAGATAATTTACGGAAATTAAGGATTTAAATTAATTAATA